AGTTTGAAGTTGGATCTAACTTGAGAGTTTGTCTTGCTTTATGTGGGGGGCTGTGCTCTCAGAGGTTACGCCCAAAGATTTTATGCAGTCTTTTAAAAATGCAAATAAATACTTTGCTGTTTCATCTTTTTATAAATGTTTAATATCTCTCAAAAATGATTTTCCTTTCTTGTGTTCCACTACTTTTACAAAGTATTCCATGGTTATAAATACCTTATGGGTGACAGAAGTACTGCTGTCTGTCCTGTTAGAACTAGATGTCTTCTCCCAAGATACATAGTTATAGACCCTGTTTTTCCTGTAGCAGCACTCTAGTAAAATAGAGACAGAAAGGTATTAACAGCAAACATCATATTGACTTCTTGACATATTTTATTGAGCCTGCTATGGTCAGGAAAAAAGGCACGTAAAACCACTTAAAAATAATTCAGATGTCTTCTCATTCTTGAGTAGGCAGGCAAAACTCAATCAAAAACATCTACTTGTTTCAAGAGCTTTGTGAAAGATTTTTGAGGCTCTGTTCTTGTGAGGCCTTCTCTGAGGTTCAGCTCAAGATCTGACCCTAATGGTTTTCAGTCTCCCAAGAATTCATGGAGTTTATTGTGTAAGACTAATTCCTGATAACTCTCAGATCTGTTTTATATTAAACAAAGCCACCTGCTCCTTTAAAATAGTTCAGTCTGTGCTTGAGACCTTCACTGCCTTATGGAGAGACTTGTAGGTATAAACCCTGCACAGCATCTAATGGTTGGTTGGTTGTTTTTTTTTCCTGAGCCCTGGCTAGTTGATGTGTTAACAGTTCTTTTTCTGTGGCATGCTTTGCTTTCTTATCTAGTGTGTATTAAAGAAACAGACAATCATGTTTTTTTAGTCTGCCCGTATTTACCAAAAGGCAGCTGTTGCACTCAGCTGTTCCTGAGCTTTTTTTCGTTAGAATAGTTTCTCACGCTTTCTCAAATACACTGAGAGGCTAAAGGCATTGATATCTTACTATATGTTTGTATGTATACTTTCAGGGTGACTCCTGGTTTCATGTAACTGTTTCTGTGAAGGGGAAGAGCTATTCTTTCTTCTTCAGGTGCAGCAAATCTGTGCCTGTTTAAAAATTACTGCCTTCTCTCATGATTTGGTTCATGGCATAGAAGCTGTTTGTCTTGTAGCAGACTAATGTGAATTAGGAAGTTCTAGATATTGGTTTCTGTTTTGCTTGATTACCCAAGAATCAAGTCACAAGAATACTCAGCATTTCATTTCCGTGCTTTGTCTCTGCAAAATAAATATTCTCATTGTAGCAGAAATAGCATGGCATACTTAAAAAAAATAAATCACAGCAGTCCACTGTTAGTTTTAAGGGTTATAGACACATTTTTTTCTGTATCTAATTCAGACATTCTAAATGCAAAAACATTTCCTAATATATTTCAGTTGTGTCTTCTGTTCACCAGTCCTCTTGGGCCCAGACTGAGTGATGAGAAGGTAATGTTCTGTGTTTAGTAAAGTTTCATTGTTGCTTACACTGTTGTTCTATACTTAGTTTTGTGGGCTTAGAGAAATAATTTTAGGTCATCAGCAGTTGTTTTTCTGATTACAGAAATAATCTTTATCCAGTAATTACATATTTATACTGAGAATCAAGTCTAAAAACAGTTAAGAATAGAAGTAGGCGAGAAAAGAGAATTTGTGTGGCAGGAAGAAATTGCATGCATGTGCAGCAGTCCTTCCCCACTGTCTTAGCAAGTTCAGATTGGTAGACACCAACTTCCTGTATGTCTGTACAGGAGATGTTGGTATCTAAGTCACCAGGCTGAGATGGGATGAGGCCTCTGGAAGTCACCTCATTCAGCCCCCTGCTCAAAGCAGAGTCAGCTAGAGCACATTGCTCAGGGTCATTTCCAGTCAGAATCTGCATACCTACAAGGGTGGAGACTGCAATCTCTGGGTAACCTGTGCCAGCACGTGGCCACCCTTACTATAAAAAAAGACTTTCTTATGGTCAGGAAGAACCCCACAACCATTAAGTTAATTCAGGAACAATTTGATTCTTGCTCCTTCTTGATACAAATTGAAGAGCCGTAAAACCTGATTCAGTTTACATCTTAATTAATTCCCGGAGGTTTGCAGAGATGTGGTTACTGTTTGCCCAGTGGCATGCTGTTTAACCTGGAAAAATTCCAGTTGCGGTTAATAAACATTTGCCAGGATAGAGCCTATATTGTTTATATTAATAATATGACAGAATTATAAAATATTTATGTATTTATTTACATTTCACAGGTGTCCTCTTTATGTCTCACCCTCTTTATTTAAACTAGTGTTTACTTTATCTTCACGTACTGAGCATCCAAGTTTGCTGAGAGTGCCAGATTCAGAGGATGCAGAAGAGCCTGTGGATTCTTAGTTTTTAGATGCTTGCATAAAAGACCTGTAAATGTACAGGTAAATTAAAAAAGCACAAATCCTGATCAGGCCAAGAACAGTTCCAGGGAAATATCTATCTCATTCATCGTAGCTTTTTTATACTAATGGAGATTAAAGTTTAACATGCTTAAGGGTCAGAGGAAAGTGAAGTGACGATTTGCTGCTTCTGCTGTAGCAGTAGTACTGCATCAGTTGCCTAATCAGAAGGAATAAAATTATAGTAACAGGCTGTGGGTTTGGTTGTTCTAGGGGGGTTTTGTTGGTTTTTGTTAACAAGCAGGAACAGAGGAGGCAGTGTTTTTCAGTACGTGTAGCACGAAAGCCAGCTGTTACTTACAAATGACGTAATTCAAGCCTTAGCATATGTGAAAATAAATAATTAAATACTCCCTTTGGTTTTCATCAACAGGCCTCCTAGGTCTTTTCAGACCTGAAGCATATTAACTACTGCAGTCATTCTCTGTGATGTAGTGTCTTTCTCTTACTCTCTGTCTATGAAGTCTAGCCACTGCTGAACAGCAATTTTGTCAATGTCCAAGGTGTTTGATAACAAAAGACATTAAAAAAATCAAATTCAATAACTACACATCTGTGATGGATCCCTAATGCCTTGTCTGGGCTTTTAGCTCAGCTATAAGCCTTGTAGCACCTGTGCTGCTGGAAACTATATAGTTGTCCGCATGGGTTGTGCTAGCTAAGATAGTGGCACCCTTTGCCTGGGTGAGAGGTGGTGTTCCTGGCTTTAGGAAAGTGAGTGTTTTCCAGAAAATACCTCACTCCTTTGCTGTCACTTCTGCAGCCTTGGCAAAAGCAGAGGTGGGATTGCAGGTCTCTCTGTATTCCAGGCAACTTGGAAATAAAATTGCCTGTGGCTGGTGAGACAGGACACCCCCACAAGAGTAAAATGTGTTTATTAGAAAATGTTAAAGCAGTTGCACTTGAAATATGGGTAGAACAAAGTTTTATGTTTCACTGTCATCCTGATACATTATGCAACTAAAAATTGGGTCTTTGAAGGAGTACAAGGTAGGTAAAACTGAGATGAGCCTTGAGCTCACAGTGGCTTTCTAAAAGGTTCATGACATAGCTGAGACTTCTGAAGTCATGACCCTGTTTTCTTACCTCTGTCTTTGGTGAGTGATAAGCTCATGACTCATTCCTTGCACTCAGGGGTGAAGTAATGTTTCCTGTGTTGTCTGTCTTATTTTATAATCTGTTACTTATTCTCTTGAATCCACTAGCTCTATGTGCGTGTATGCTTATCTATTTATCCATATCTATATATCTGTGCTTCCTTGTCTCTAAAAAAGTCCTACTGAGGTCTTTCTGAGCACCCAGAAGATCACCATTCAGTTTTCACTGTTCAGCCTTTTTTTTTCCCCTTGGAATCCTTTGCTGTTTCTGCCATTGGTTTATGTACATTACTGCATTATGCTTAAGCCATGGATAACCATAGAAATGTCTGGGAAAGACAGAGATCATGTCTCTGAAGCATTGTTTTTCTTAATGTTTGGGGATGCTTTTTCTCATAGAGGATGTGGTTCTTTTGGGTTTCTGTTTTAGTCTGCTGCTCTCAGACTTCTTTCTGTACGTTCTGCAACCAGCTACTTGTAAGCAAGCAAGCTCCAACTGATGCTTGACAGAGGATATTTGTTTTGTCAGGAAACTGGCGCACTTAACATGGATTTTTTTTTTTTCTCAGAGTAATTTGGGGAAATTAAAAATTTGGCAGAATTATATGTTGTAAACATAGATGGTAGCCCTGCATTTGTCATTACAGAAGCAGCACAGGCTGCAGAAGAACTGTAATATTCTTTGGCTAGTCAAAACCAAAAACCAAGCATCAGCCCCACAGCAGTTTAACAGATAACATATGCATGTTCCCATCTTACAACCACATCAGAAACTGTGACTGTTTAATTTTACTTAATATACTTGTAATTATGCATTGGATATATTTTAACATCTGTGGCTGCAGCAGACAGATTTTAGAGTATCATCTAGGATGGTAGAATAAAAATGTAACCTAAATTAAGGAATGTTTCTTTGAAAAACACACCTATTTACAGTTAAAAAAAATAAAATCCCAAACACCAAACTGCAATAACAAGGTAATATGCTATTATGATGATGAAAGCAAATTTACAAGAGACTCAGTAACATGAATGCTTGAATAAGAGAAAGGAGTGAAAAATAACAGATTGCATAACTTTCCCAAGTAATTAGTCAGTAGCTTCTCTCATACTTTCTGAAGTATTTTTCATTTTGAGTTTGAATTTGTCACATTATACTGCTTCCTTCAGGTGCAAAAGTTTTACTGAAAACATAGTGTATTGGAGATTGACAAAGCGCTGGTGATGGTGAATTCCTGGCAGGGAGACAAATGATCAAATAGTCAGTGTTTTAACTTTTATAATGTGCATGTTGGACAAATACAAATCACTTCAACTGGTCTTTCAGAAAGCAAACCCAAATTAGCCATCCCAGAAAAATAACAGCAGGAAGCACCTCTTAATATTGTGACTTGTTTGTCATAAACAACCAGATGCTAATGTTGTGTATTTTTTTTTCCTCTCTTCTAGGTGCCTGAGATCATAAGTTCTATTCGACAAGCTGGAAAAATTGCTCGTCAGGAAGAGTTTCAGAGTAATCTCTCAGATGTCGAAGACCCTTTTGCCAAAAAGTTTGAGGTGCTGTTCTGTGGACGGGTGACAGTAGCACATAAAAATGCACCTCCAGCACTCATAGATGAATGCATTGAGAAATTTAATCGTGCAAGTTGTACAAAACAATCAGATTGCAACTCATCATCTCAACAACATGAAACTGCCACTAACTTTGGAGGCTTCTCTTTCAGCGACAGATTTCGGTCTGTTTTCCAGCCCTTGGTCAGTGAAGAAGAGGAGAAAAGGCCAATTAGGAAATCCTTTTCCCAGCCTGGGCTGCGTTCCTTTGCTTTTAAGAAGGATTTGCAAGAGGGAAGCCAAAGGAGTAGCAGCTTTGTCAGGTCTTTCGAAGAAGATGCCATTTCACTGAACCTAAAAAGTCAACTCGTCTATGGACACAGTGTTGTGCAGCCAACAGACATTGCAGAAAACCGGACAATGTTGTTTACGGTAAAGCAAAATTTGCAGCTTTTGGTGCTTTCTCATCTCGGAGTTTGGAGTGGCAAACACCAAAGGAGATGTTCTGACAGATGGCTGTTACTTCTTTTAATAACTTAATTGCAATTATCACAGCTTAACTTAAACGTGCCTATTTCTCTAGAAAGCATTGCTAGTCAGTGTAAATTGTTTTACATAGTCAAAATCAGTTTATATTGAATAGTTTAAAATAGCACTACCTGTAATATTTGGCTTCTAAGAACAGCTTTTAGAAAGCTGCAGCAAGTTAGCAGGTAGCTATACAATTGCAAAATGATATGTACAGTTACACTAACTAGTAACAGCAGAAATAAATTTCCAGGTGAATGAGTTAACTGTAACTAGAGCAGAAGGGCCAAACCATGCCTGGGGGCTAGTAAACTCTATGTCCTGTGATAGGCAGCATAATTCATGGAGGTGTTCTGCTGCCAACATGCCTGGGTAATGGTGGAGTAGTGTAGTAAGTTCCTAGACTACTCCACACCTGCCTCTACTGCAGGCCTACTTTTGTGTGGCTAACAATGCCTTGCCTTGATAGGTGAGCAGCAAAATAATTTTTTAAGACCTGAGAAGTAAAGAATGTTATTTGCTTCTCTTACAATCATCTTGATATATAAGTTATGTAACATTTTATATATATATCTTGTATCATGTGAACAGAATGCAAGCCTGGAGCTGGTATTGTGATCGCTGGCTAAGATCATCTTGGATCTGTCAGCTGCTGTTGGGGCTGGGAGGTTTTAAGGACAGCAGCAGAGCAGAGTGGGTGCAGTTACAGCAGGTTTTTTGGAGGAGGGGAAGAGAAGCATTGCTTTTAAGTGTTATGTCTGTAAAAGGTAACACACAAAAAAAGAGGCATAGTTAGCTATACCTGTTTTAAAACTTCCGGTTAGTTGTGGCAGGCTGGCATCAGAGAGAGAAGTGGAAGAAGGTGGAGAGAAATTTTATGCCACAGTAAAAACAATTCCATGTTTACTTTCCCTGAGCATGTATCTCACACAGAAAATATAGACAACCTTTATAATAATGCCTAACTTTTAAACAGTTCCTGACTTCATTGTTCATTTGTGGCACATGCTATAGGGATAGGGATATTATATTATAGATGGACTGGTCAAAGTCCAGATCTTCTTAATCCAGTGAGTGCATTTTTAATTTGTATTAAATAGATGCAACAGTTCTCAAAGACACATGCAGCTTCAGCCTGAATATAATGTCAGTCACCTGCTGACAGGCTCATTTCCCAGTTGTGAGGTTCTGCTGATCTGCTTTCTATCTTGGGTTGCTTTTTGCCTGGGAAAATATTGTTTAGAATGCACAGTTGTATTCTTTTGCTATTCAGTCAGTGTAAATTCAGCTGAATATAAGGAAGTGAAGTAACTGTGGTTTGTACCTCTGGTATCCACAAATTCATGGCAGAGCTGAATTTGTTGGTTAGCCATCCCCCATGGTCAGCAGGTTCTAAGTAATGGTATGCATGCAGTGTGCACAGGTCAATCAATTGCTCATCAGTTTGTGTATGGCTACGTATTAAGCTCTTAAAAGTAACTCCATCAGGAGTTCATCAGGAGGGAAAAACTTGTTTGTATTTTCACAGTTAAAGTTCTTCCTTGGATCTTATCCAGGTCTGCAGCAGAGGTTAGTTGGTGTATGAGGTGTGAAAAACATTACCTGCTGACTCTCCTCACCATGTCCAGACAGTTCAGATTTGGTGTCTCTTCCTGAAGAACTGCTTTCCTACCCAATTTCTTAGGATTTTTTAAATTCATTTTAGGCTTTTCACCTGGCTGTGCCCTTTTTTTTTTTTTTGGGGGGGGGGGGGAGAAGGGGTGTGTTGTTGGGCTCTGTTTTATTTATTTTTTTCCTTTGTTCTGTTGGCTTCAAATGATCCCTGTTGCCCTGGGACCAAGTGTGAAAGGAGTATGTGGGGCTGAGTTAAGGGAGGGAAGGCAGCAGCAAGCAGGAGGGGGCTGCTGAGTAAGTGTTGGAAGGAATAACCCATGAGCACACACGAGGTCAGCCTGGGGACAATACAAGGAAACGAACAGGGGGTTGGGGAAAATCACTGTGACTGATTGAAGTCAAAGAAGAGGTGGAAGGTGACCATTTTTAGACACACACAGGTGTGGCACATCTCACTTCATTCATACACAGGATTTCCACCTTCCTTAAGAAATTATGGATATATTGGTGCTTCTGATGTTTTTATGTGCATCTTTTGGGATTTGGTAGTGGTTGAAGCTTCAGCAGGTTTGTTGTTAAGTCACACTCCTGAATGTATTGCGATTCCACCCATCTTCCCTAAAAGCTGATATAAGACTTGTCCTTTGCAGAATTTTTGATGTGCTAGAAAATATGAGGAATTTAAATTCTATCTGTTAAAACGATACAAAGAAGCTGAAAAATTGAAAACAGCAGTTTCACCTTAAAAATGCCCTTCTGCCATCAAAAGTTAGCATGAGCTTTTGGGTCACTGCTGTACAAACAGCCCACAGATTAAATTAAAAGTTAGAAAATGGGCTCCAGTAAGCTCATTTTGTATAGTTCAAGTTAAAGCCTTTAAATTAAATGGTATTTATATCTTAAATAAATAAATGAAAGCCTAAAAAAAAAATAATAATCAGGTGGAATATAGGTAGAGGCACGCACTTGGACTTAAATTTTAGGATTAATTAGCTTTTTGGAAATGTGGTATGTGCCAAGACTGCAGAAAATAAGAAAAGGGAGTGTGAGTGTATTTTCTCAGTGCAAACTAAGTTATTTATGGTATAATATTACTCTCATCTAATTAAAGTCTCAGTCTCTTGTCTTGTGAAAGTAAATCTTAATTCAGTAATGTGGGGAGCTCTGAATGCCAAATCAGTGTTGTTTCAGTATTTTTGCTTTCTCTGGTAAGAATACACTGATTGGTCTAAATATGCAGGTAGAAAAAATAGAGACTTATATCCAGGAAACATTTTATAGCGAGACAAAAGGAAGTGTAATGGTATTTATTATCATCTTGATTTTTACTTTGCTCTTTTTAGATTGGCCAGTCTGAAGTTTACCTTATCAGTCCTGACACAAAAAAAGTAGCAATTGAGAAAAGCTTTAAAGAAATATCCTTTTGTTCTCAGGTAAGAGTGCAGTGTATTCTCTCTGTTTTTCTTTTTTTCTTTTTTTTTTCTTTTTTTTTTTATTTTTATATTCTCCACTTGTAAATGTTCACATACTCCTTCCTGTCTCCTAGCATTTCAAATGGATTCTTATCTCAGCAGTGTCAGTGATTGCTATGACAAGTTGCTAGTTAATCAGCAATTTTGTAAAACCATGGTTATTTTCTCTTGCTTTGCATTGTAAATTCTGAGATAAATACTCACTTCTGTGTGCAGTGGATGAATAATACAATCTAGGATGGACACCCTGATCACCTCTGGTTTAAGATTTCAGAAGGCCTGGTGCACAGTTGTTCAAACTCCTGCTTGGCATCTTCAGACGGTTTAAATTTCACTAAAATTTCTAATTTACTGTGATTCATCATTATGATTATTGATACACTAATGTATTGCTTCTCTTTATTTGATTTTAATATTGTTGTGCTATAACATTTAGCAGGTACTAAGATGGTGCTGAGCATAATTGCATTTCTATAAGCAGACTGTACCACTGTGCATGTAATTCATCATCATAAGTATGACTTGCTGGGTTTTTAATTTAAACAAGCGTGGTGCATTGAGGAGACATGCACTGTGATCACCCAACTCTACTCATCTGAAAGTCTTTTCATAAAAGAAAAAAATTCCCAGCAATTAAAAAACCTTCTTAGCATTTTGCCAGGATGTAATGTTTATCTACTGTTGCGGGTTGCTTGTACCTGAATTTGCATGCCTTTAGGGAAAATAGATGCTTCCATGTGTGATCTTTAAGTCATATATTAAATAATTTTCTTTTTTTTTTTTTTTACTAGCCAAGCTTTTTTTTTAGATTAAAAAAATGTTTATCCATTTTTCACTATTGCTTTCATTTGCTCTTAGAAATGTAAAGCAATTGTTGACCACTTAAGCAAAAGAAAAGAAAAACAGAGTGAACTTTTTGCCCCCCTGGTATTTCTAAAACTGAGTAAAATACTTCTTGAATAGCATTTATTCATCTCTGTAAGTGTTTTCCAATGGATCTATTAAAAAAAAAAAAAGGAAAAAAATCAACAAGAAAACCCCACCAAAACCAACAAACAACCTTAGGCTTAAGTGAAGTTTAAGATTCATGAAGTAATAGAATAGATTTTTAATGGCCAGATGACTTTAATGTAGCTGTAACAGTGATATGGGACCTACCTGTAATGCTGTTGGGCCTTTCATGCTTCTGTTACTTGAAGAAATACAGGCACAAAACATTGAAAGTACATGTGACTGCTTCATTACTGTTATTTTTGTACTAGGGAATTAGACATGTGGATCACTTTGGGTTTATCTGCAGAGAGTCTTCAGAAAATGGAGGCTTCCACTTTGTTTGCTACGTGTTTCAGTGTACAGATGAAGCACTGGTAAGTGCCTAATGGAACAGTAGGCCCTAAAAGTCTTCTGTTGCTCTATGCTCTTTGTTTTGCTGAATGTCTTTAAATCCCGCTCTGCTTGGAAATATAATTATTTCAAAAATGTAACTAACATAGCAGTCTAACATAAATGTACTTTATAGTACATAGTACTAACATAAAAGTACTAGCATGTATGTTAGTACATAATACTAACATAAAAGTTACTAAAATGCAATTGACATAGCAAAAGAATTATAATTTGCTTTCAAGGCAGAAGCTTAAATCCCCTTTAAAATCCAGTAAAGCTTCCTTTAATTGCACGAAGTTAAGACTGTATTCCTCTTTTTGGGAAGAGGATTTCTTCATAGTGCACCCATTCAGAAAATCAGGACTACACTGTGCTCTAGGTCAGGCTAGTGCATCACAACTGCAGTAAGCTTTTTTATCACAGACAACAGTCATAAAATTAGGTGGCCTGGAGAGATATCACTTCACAGTAAGTTTTGTCTTCCCTTTGTGTTTGTGTGTGGAAATGACAGGGGAACAGCTTTTCTTTTTAATCATAACCACATTCCCAAACAAGCATCAGTATCATTCTAAAAGACTGTTGTGTTTGTGTTAAGGAAAACAGAAGCTCAGTGGAAGAGTGAAATTCTGTTCTTTTGCACTCTACTCTTTTCAGGTTGATGAAATCATGATGACATTGAAACAGGCTTTCACCGTAGCTGCTGTGCAACAGACTTCCAAGGCACAGCCCCAGCTCTGTGAAGGATGTCCTATGCAAAGCTTGCATAAACTCTGTGAAAAGATAGAAGGTGAGGTTTAAAAACTTCCTAGTTGAATATTTCTTCAAGTAATTTTACTGGGGGACAGTCTCACATGTTAAACTCTATGGGAATGAATGCTTAAAAAGAGCCTGGAACTTGGGATGGAGGGTTGAAAGCCAGTCTTTTTATTTAGCAGACTGCAATGTCAAGTTATCTGTAAGGTAATAAGAATTTTCTAAAGAAAAGTTAAACTCCTTTCTTATATTTTAGTTGAATTTTTGAAAACTCATCGAGTCTAAATATTACTGAATTGCAGCTAGCATGGCTCTATTAGCTGCATAAATGCTGAAAATTGCAGGTAAGAAACTCCTTAAGAATATATCCTGCAATAGCTTTGACCCCCTGTCCTATGGAATCCACTTAAATACCAGCATTACACTACCATAAACATGAACCAAGCAGTATGCACATGTTTGTGGTGTTGATTTATGCCCCTTCGTGAAAATGCAGCAGTTAAGAGTTGTAGGTGTTACAAGAAAACAAGTTAAAAGGAAAAAAAACAAAACAAAACAAACAAAATCTCTTTGCATTTCAGCAAATTTCACAGTTGGATTTTGTTTGTTTAAGTAATATCTTGAGTGAATAAAGGGCAACAGCAGCTTGTCAGATCACATGACCGTAGCTTGTTGGGCTAAAACCTATCTAGTATTAATTTGATGAAACTGGAGAACTTCCAAAAGTACTTTTCACTCTATTTTTGTATCAACTACTATGATTTTTGAGTAATTTCTTAAAGGCAAAGGATTCTTAATGCCTTTAATCATGCCATCTGGTTAAATATATCATCTGCTTCTGAAGGAGAAATACCATGATCAGAAACTGAAGTACAAAATACTGTTGATGGTCTGCTCTTTTTCCACAGAAAATAGAGGAAGGGAAATTAATCCAGGATGAGAGCAGGAAAAATAATCTGAATGAGAGAGCAGTCTGCTTTAGACTGTCCCTCAGTAAATGTTGTCAGCGAGAGGCACAGCAAGAAGTTTACTAGTATGCAGTAAATTTACTCTTTTTCAGAAGAGGCTAGGGTATACAAATTGGAGAAAATCAATGGAAATCATATTTATACCGTTAGCAAAATCTAAGTAGTACTGAAGAAACCACCAGCAAAGCAATCTGCTAAAATGCAGTCAATTGTGGGTTTATTTTATCTTGTGTGATAATGGAATCTTCAGCTAAGAGTATAATCCTGGTCTGTGCTCAGTAAATCTCCTTGTTACAGGGTTCATGTCCCTCATTTTAAAGACATGAGTTCACTAACAGCTTTAAATTAACCAAGAGTTCTTTCTAATGCCCCATTATGAAATCACTGCAACGGGTCAGCTCAAATAACTGACAAGCATATTTATGTTGATTGATTAATTCTGACAAATATGACCCTGTGATTTGTTCCTTTTTATTGTTATTGGCAGGGTTACACCCTTCTAAGACTAAATTGGAACTACAAAAGCATCTAACAACACTAAATAACGAGGAGCAGGCCTCTGTTTTTGAAGAGGTTAAGGTAAACTCTGTGTTTTCTACAAGATTTTAAAGCAATTGATGTTTTTGCTAACATCAGCATTAAGCACTGAAGTTGTGGGTGTTTTTGTGAATTATCTTCATTTAATAAACTGTTAATCACCTTGTGCTTTAATTTCAATATCATTATTTTTTAGAGCTGTTAAAAACTTGTCCTTTTATAACCATGTCTCATTTTACTCATTTTTCTTCTGCTTTCAATGAAAAGAGTTGACTTCTTGCTGAGTAAAAATGCACACATTTTTTGTGGGTGAAAGCAAAATAACTTACATTGTGAGAACTTTCAACTGTTAACTTGACCAAACAAAATTACTGTAACATTCCCAGATCAAAAGAATTCCTGCTTAAAATTTATCCTTGATCTTAATACTTGTCAAACTAACTAAAAAAGTTTAACTTTCTATCTTCTGAATCAAATCCATTTTAGCACAGAGGAAAGCATAGTGGGTGTAAGACAGATGAACATTGTAGGAAATGTCTTTGGGATTGGCACACTATTGAAGAACAGGGAATTTCAGACTCTTTAAAAATAATATTTCCTTCCTCTCTTGAGTCATTTCAGTCTCTTTGTGTGTTTCCTTGTGGCAGTTTATCATCCAATACCAAATTTGGAAGTTAACTCTGTGGGACTGATTCCATGACCTAAGTAATTTCTTAGTATATAGTAGCTAGCTGGCACTGTTGCCTTTTAGTATTCTGTACACATATTAAAGGTCTGAAGCTTCTAGTAGTCACAGGAAACTGTTAATTGATTCTGATGAGAGTCTGCAAATGTTTAACTGGGTCAAACCAAGGGTATGTCTCTCCTGTCTGCCTTTTTCAGCTGATTTTTTTGAGTTGGACTACCTGAAATTTTAGTTGTAGCATTCTCAGAGCTCCGTATGTTGTAACCATGATTTGCATTTTTCGATAACTGTCTTTCTAAAGATATTCTTATTAATCTGATGCGCTATCTTGGCATTACCGAATTCATAAGTTATCTGCTGCATTACATCAGTAGTGTTAGAACAGCATATACTTTTCAAAAGTTAGGTTTCTGGGATTAAATTCTATAATAACTTGTTCTAAAAATATTTTCATTTACAGTAGTTCAGATCTAAATAGAATGCAGCAGGGAAACATATGTTCACCTTGTGCACTGATTTTTAAAATACCTGTGTCATTTCCTAAAACTGAAACGTCCAGTTGAGGTTTTCTAGCAGAAGGGTTTTGCAGCAGAACCACAGTATTTTGGTTTTCTTTACATCAAAAACAGATTGGAAAATTATTTTTTATGTCTTAATATGCTTCTGACAATTTAACACCTCCAGAGTTGTCCATGTAAATTATGCTGTGCATGAAGTGAGGTCAAGTGTTTCCATACCTGTGTTCTTTGCCTGGGACACTGGTGTCCTCTGGTGGACTGGAGTAGTAGCATTAACGAAGTTAAACTGGTTCTTACCTTAGTGATGTATTGACAGTGGCAAGATGAAAAGAATAAATATTTGCTAACTGTTATAAAAATGTATAATTACTGTGCTTGTGGTGTTTTCAATTAAAGAAATTAAGACCAAGGAATGATCAAAAAGAGAATGAGTTGGTTATCTCTGTTTTGAGAAACATGTATGAAGAAAAACAGAAGGACCATGTCCATGTTGGAGAAGCAAAACAGGTAAGTAAGTAATCACTAAGTTTTAGTTTGTGTAAGGAGGATCCATCTTTAAAAAAAAAAACAACTCCATTCCATTTTTATACCTTTCCAAAGGCGAATTTCCATTGCTTGCATTTTGGAACTTCAGACTGTCAGGAGCGGTGAACACTGGCTTTGCTTATGATTATTGTTCTTTGCCACAACAGGCATATCTGATTTTGAGGTACTTAGTACAGTCTGATTTCAGGCCTAGGAGATAAGTATGCAAACAAGGTAGACCACTGATCTGATTGTTGCTTTCTTGTCACTGCAATGAAAATTCATTGTGTGTGAGAGAACGAATTTGTAATTGTTCTCAGATAGTCTGTGTCATTTGCCATCCCACTGTATGTATGAGTCAGTGTCCTGACAAACAGAAGGGATTTGATTCTTGATAAAGATTTACATTTACTTGATAGCTGGAAGTTACTTCTTGTGTACAAACCACCGTTTGAAGTGGCCTCAAGGAGGAGTAGCTGAGTAGGATTGCTGCAGAAACCACATCTGCAAGTCATCCGTTTCTGCAGAGCTGTGTTACCTTTCATTCTGTATCAGGTTGTATCAGTGCTGTTTAATTGGCTATTTATACAGCACAGTTAAGATTTTTCAGAAGGGATAGTGATTTTGGATGCCTTGTTTTGTGATTAACTAACTAACTTGAGACACATCAAGGATGTCTGTGTTTAAAAGAGGATCAGCACCAGTTCTCTGAAAACTTTCGGTTCCAGTTATTTGACCCTTTTAAAAATCTCGGCTGTCCCACCACTGCTGGCTGATAATTTCAACATGATGACTGCTGTTGTCCATTTGTGATATAAACTAGCAAGTAAATATATGGAGTATAATGAGACCCAGAAGAAATTTGGGACATAGCAGCAAGTCTTTATTTACTGTTTGTTCACTTTGCTAATCTCTTCTTTATGGCTTACTGGCTAACTATTGACCTCCCTGAGGAAGCAGTAAGAACCTTTGCATGTTTTGTTCTGATTTTTTGCCTTGGGCATCTCACCAGAAATATGCTTTTAAGAAAAGAGCATTGTAGTTGTGGTATGACAGAAAGAAACATTGCCTGAGGTCCTCTATCATCGTACCTGAAATATTTTTATTTGGTCTAATGCCAGCCAATTATCAAATAGTTGTCAGTCATGAATGGCTTGGAAATAGGGATATAGGAAGCAAGATAATATCTTTATATGTCTTCTGTGTGATTTGGAAATCCCTAAGGCCTGTTGCAGTCTGTTTACTCAGTTTCTGGAACCAAAATTGGTTAATCTCACATTTGCAAAGATGCCAGTGCTTTAACAACAGAGTTGACTTGCCCTTAGCCCATCATTTGTCTTAGCACAACATTTTATATTTACTCTGATAATTTATCTCCAGCACTGTGTAATAGCAGATACCTTTGAACATGTGTACACTGGCAGTGTTATTTGTCTCAGCAATTATTAACCTATAACACCCTGATGTCCTTGTTCCCTTCTTTTCTGCAAAGGTATTCACTTTACTCCTTTTCATAATTTTTTATTTCCTAATATTTAAATCAGGGGAGGGAAAAATGTAAAAACAAAACCAACCCTAAAACCTGATACTAGTACATAGGTTTTATCTAACAAAAATGACCTTCAAATTAAGTGTCTTTTTCATAAGAATGTAATAGCAAGCAGCATCCAATTTGTCCTTTGTGGATAAAATGAGTGAAGGTAAAAAGAAAATAAGCATTCAGAGCTCTGAAGTTAGAGCTAAAAAGGTAGAGCAGCCTCAAGGTAAACCCCCAAAACAACACTGAACATTGTACTCTGGTATCAACTGCAGGTATTAGGTTTGAATGGTAATATTTGCATCATAGAGTCACTTTTGTATTTGCTACACTGGTCTTTGCAAGCACTAAAAATGAACTGAAATATTTATTTAAAAAGCAAAACTCTAAATAGACTGTTAGCTTTAAGATGGAAGTATTTCAACTGGTGAAATATATAGAAAAATTAGATTGTTTTACATCTTCCTGACCTTTAAGAAGCCCTGTTTTAATATAGTGGAGACACTTGAGAGTTTTTGTTAATTATGAGCTTCACCATTTTTGATTAATTTCTTGGCAAGAAAAGTAAATCCGTTCAGCAATCTCTAATCTGTTACACTTAAACATTTGGAATTTGTACAATTGTACTTTGTTGTTAAAGAAAATTTTCCAACACAGCCCCTTATTGAAGGGGCACTTCTTCTGAAGCTGCTACACTCAATACATTTCCCTTAGGAGAATTTCCTGGTCTCATGTTAGGATAGTTTGTTAAATTTTAGTATAAGTATCAAAAGATCAAAAGGCATGAAATGCCAAGGACACCAGGAGAAAGTATTGATCCAGGTCATGGAAGTCTTCAGTCTGTTCACTGAGATCCTGCTCCATGCTGTTGAGTATTTCACATTTATATTTTTAAACACTTGCAGGCTTCACAACCCCCTACTGAGAATGCTGTAAATGAAGTGCCCAGCAGTACTTCAAGATTCAGATTAGATATGTTAAAGAACAAAGCAAAAAGATCTCTGACAGAATCATTTGAAAGCATTTTGTCACGTGTAAGTATCATCGTGGTTATTGCCTCTGAACATAATTTCATTGTTTTATTTATTTGAATGATAGAAAAGTAATATTTATTATCTTTCCAGGTTGAATGCCAAACAACAAATATTAAAGGAACAAAAATTTGGCAGTCTCATTCTCATCAGCAGTAAAATTGAACAAAGACCTAGTACAGTTTATTGGTTCATAGACATACAACTAGTAGTGACAAAACAAGGCTTTCGAAGCTTATTTCAGACATTGTATCTAACCTGCTTCCATGAAACAAATGATGGCAAAAGCATGTTCTCCCTGTTATTATTATGCACATAGAGAAGATTTTTAGTTGAATATCTCCCCTCATTACTTACCAGCCAGCATTTGTAGAGTTCACCCCTGTAAAGTTCTGCTGTGAGCATGTTCAGTGTATGAAACATAACATTAGTTGTGCTACACAAAGTATAGTAGCTACTGTTCTAATTTTTGTCAGTTTGTCCTGACTGGCATAGGGTGTCTTCGCATAAGTGTTAGCGTCGAGACAAACACATAACCCCTGGAATGGTTATATGAGGTGCTTTATTGAGGCGCCGGGAACCAGGGGTACGCACCCAAATCTGGTTCCGATTCCCGTCACATCGCGTTCGCAATTTATGCACTAAAAATTTCATAACTAATACATATTCAACACAGATTACATCATTGACTAATACATATGCATCAAAGATTGCTGCATCAATCTATTATGACATCAGCCTCCTCTGTGCTTGCGCCGCCCCCTCTGGTGGTCGGCCTAATGAAGTAAGGAGTCTTCCTCAGATGAAGTAAGAAGTCTTCCTCAGGTTGTCCTTTTCATCTTTCCTCTACTTGGCCAGGTCCCAGTCGTCTTCCGGACATTAGCATTCTCTTATCTTCACCAGGATGCTTCTGGTATGCCCTTTTTGGCTATCTTAAACTTAGGTTCTGCTTGGGTAGAGTTTTACAATACATAC